TGCTATAGGTATTCCTCGTGAGGTTGTTGCAAGGACTAAACTGGATGATGAGTTTAAAAGCCCTCTGTAGTGCTCATTTCAGCAGCACATATACTAAAAGCCCTCTGTAAACTGTAAATGCTTTATTAGTTACCATCGCCATTCTGGTACTATGGTTGCTCATAATGGGGATCCTGGGTTACATGTTTATTTAGTGGGCATCTGTAGATGAAGGGTGAGCCTGGTATGGACCTCATGTCATTGGATCTGGCATTAGACAGATAGGGGCTCAGAGCTCTTCCTCTGTGTGGTACTTAGGGAGACATCAAGAGAACTCTTCCCAAAGGAAATTGAGTGCTCATTTGGAGTTGGATCTGGAAGAAGGAGGAGGCAGCCACCATCCTGAAAACGTAGGAGGCTGCAGAAGGAGATAAGAGAGCAAAGGTTTGGGGAAGCCTGTGTGGCCAGGTCAGGAAGTGGAGTAGGGCAGGAGGTGGCCAAAGCCATGACCCTTGGTAGGGAAGCTGAAGAAACAGCTCCAGGAGTTCCGTGTGCAGTGTATCCACACAGGCTTTGCCTTTGGACAAGAGTGCTAGAAAAAAAGTGTGAAGAGGCGTTCGCTCTAAATCTTGGGACTTCTTTGGTTATCCATTTATCGCTTTAAAAAGCAACAATTAAAAAATAAAATAAAAAGCAACAATTAAGTGTAAGAAAAAATGCAAACAGTATCAAAATGGTAGAAAATTAATGCTGTTTTTATCCCTGCTTTGAGAGATCTCACTACTTGAAAGGAGAAACTGATAACGAAGTAGTGGAGTCTTCCAGATGGTCTCTAAGGATTATGCACATAGAGTTTTTAAACAATGGTATTATTATGTATACTCTCTGATGCTAGGATTTTTTTAACGTAACACCTTACCCGGGGCAACTTCTGTTTCAGTACCGAGGGTCTACCTAATTATTTTTAATAGCTACATAATATTTTATTTATGCCTGCATAATTATACTTACCCCACCCCTATTCATGGACACATGACTGTTCCTAATCTTTTAGTATTAAACCCTGCTGGATACATGTCTTTGCAGATTCGTACAAGTATTTCTCTGGGCAAAGTTTCTATCAGTGGAATTTCTAGGACTCCTGTTTTGAATGGATGATGGCTGCTGTGGTGTTTCAACACTACAGAGAAGAAAAGCAGAGGCTGGAAGAATGGTCAGTAGTTGGGGTTGGAAATGCTCACCTTTCAAGGTTCAGAAGTGGTAGTCTCAAGAGCTCCCTTTCTCAGTTGGAGTCCTCCTGGCCAATAGAGGGCCCTACACAAACACAGTTCCTTGGGCTTCAGATTATCTGACTAGATTTGCCTTCTGAGGAAAGGTAGAGGTGATTCATTCACCACCACTCCTCACCAGAGTGCTTGTTTGGGGCTGCCAGCCTTGAAGGCTGTTGCCTCCAGCCTCTGTACAGACACCTGGAAGCCTTGTGTCTCAGCTGGTCCTAAAGAATTAGTTTGCTTGGCGTCTGGTCAGGTTTGCAACTCGTAAAATGTGCAGAGATTAGTACCTCCCCTGCCATCTTATCCTGTTCATAGCTGCCAGTCCAAGGATCCTTGTAGTTGCCTCTGGCAGCTGTAACTGCTGAATCCTCTGCCAGCTTCTCTAGGGACCTAGAAGAGCAGCTTTCCACGCAGGGCCAGTATCCCAAGGGCAGGAGGGGGAAGTATAGTCTCCAGTATAACCTTTCACCTCCCAGTTCTGGGTGGTTTAGGCCCTTTGGAGTTGGCCTTGAGGAACTACACACTTGGGTCTGAGCAGCCAGCACCTTATCACATCTGGTGATCAGTCCTTCTGTGGTTCCTCCTGAAGTCTGGATTTATGGAGGTCACATGGATTCCACCTAGGAGGGGCTTCTGCTTCAGCTCAGAACATGGGGAGACTGCTGCCCCATGAGGCAGTCTCTCATTGACTTTGAGAGGGAGGCAGTTTTCATGGCTTTGAGAAGCCCTCACACTAGTTCCCCACACACCCACCCACCCACTGAGTCCTTTGTAAGCAAAGTGGGGGGAACAGAGAGCACTTGCAGCCTCCTGCTCGCATTCCTAGACACCGACTCACTGCGCCCGCCGCCGCTGGAACAGCAGAGCTGTGTGAAATGTCAAGAGGAGTTATGCTCATGGGTTCCCTGGCCCCAGTCTCTTTGTGGCTTGCATTTTCTTCCATCTGCACTCTGTTCATCAGATGGAAATCAGAGGGTACAATTAGAAGATAATTTGCTAGTTCCAGACTTAATTTGGGGCCCCCTTCTTGCCTGATCGAATTACAAGGAAACATAATAGATTTTGGTGAGAAATAGTTGGCTCTGTCACTGGGAGAAAGAGAGCTCTCAGCTCTCCAGCTGGACAGGCCTTTTGGTATCTTGTGTGTTGTTTCCCCTTTCCTCCTCTCTGTGCTCCACCTCTCTGTGGCTCCTGTGTGGCCCCAGGTTGGGATCCTGTTCACCTCCAGGCTAGCTCAAGAGGTTTAGACTCCACTAGAGACCAAACAAAAACAAGGAGCCCTCTGCAACCTCATAGGGCTGACAAATGTTGAAGCTGGAAGCTATTTAGAGACCTACCCAAGGCCCAGACAGAGGCAACTACTTACTGAAGGCCACATAGCTACCCATAGAAGTAGTAACAATAGTCTTAATGATATTACCAGCTAACATTTATCAACCCTTAATGTGTTCCAGACCCTGTGCCAAAGGCTTATGTGCAGTGCATTGTCACATTCAAACCCATACAGTCTGGCTCTGGGCCCAGACTGGGCTCCAGCGTAGCAATGGTGGAGCTCAGTATAGAAAGCCTGGGTTCAAATCCTGGCTTCACCTCACACTTACACAGCTGGGTGACCTCACACAAGCAGTGGAGACTTTTTGTTCTTCAGTTCCTATGTCTGTAAAAAGGGTGAAATCATAGCACTACTGACTAGTGTGGGTTAAAATTCATTCATATGTGTGAGTGCTGTGGTCACTGCTTGCTGCAGGGTGAGCACCTAGCCACTGCTTGTTCCCTGCTGGCTGCTCCTGGGGCTGGAGTGTGGTATCTGCATGGCAGTAGATAAATGTGGCTGAGTTCTGCACACATGCCAAAAGCCAGCCTTCATTAATAAAGGCAGTAAACAGAGTGGTTGAGTGCCTTTGCTGCAGAGCAGAGGTTGGCAAACTATAGCCCGTTGCCTGTTTTTGTATGGCCTCTGATTTTTGCAGTTTTTAATGGAGGTGGGGAAGCAAAAAAGTGTTTCATGGGACATGAACATTACATAAAATTCAAATTTCATTGTCCATAAATAGAGGTTTACTGGAAAACAGCCACATCCGTTTATATTTTATATACAGGCATTTTCACAGTGCAGTGACAGAGTTAAGTAGCTTTGACAGAGTCTTTATTTGTGTGGGCCTGCAAAGCCTAAAATATTTATTCTCTGGCCCTTTATAGAAAAGGTGTCCTGACCCCTGATCTACAGTCACACTTACAGGGTTTGAAACCCAGCTATACCACTTACTAGCTGTTTGTCTTCAGACTAGTGATATAACCCTTTAGAACCTCAGTTTCCTCATCTGGTAAATGGGGATGATAACCCCATTTATTGGCAATTTAAGTATGATAGATGACAGATGCAGAGAACTTAATACAGAGCCGGGAACATACGAAGTGTTTAATAAATGGTAGCTTATTACAGGATGCAAACAGAATCTCTCTTATCACATTTGTTGTTACCCGTGTGTCCAGTCAGTAGAGGAATGGGAAAAGGTTCCCTTGTAACCCAGCCACCACCTTTGCCACAGACTTCCCTGTCACAGTGATAGGGTGACTTCAACGGAGAAGAATGTGTGCCTGGTGAGAGAGAACTGCTGTCACTCCCTCACAGTCCTGCAGGCAGGGGAACAAGAGGCTTTCCCAATGGTGGGCTCTGTTTTGGTCATCCCCTCATCCAGTGCTCTTCAGCCAGACCACCGCTCCAGATACTAAGGCCTGTCATCCCCACAGACACTCCCAGCCTTGTCCTCCTTCATGTCTCATTTTTCTGTTTGAGAAATTTTGTTACCTGGACACAGTGGAAGAAGTGCCACTGCCCATTGAGGCCAATGGATGGCATTCTGGCAATGAAAGAATAAATGAAAGAGAGGTGACAGGTGATCTGGGCTCTAGTTCCTGTGCTGTCTCCCACTTGTAGGGCTTTGAGGGAGATATTTCCCCTTGAAGAATCAGAGTAAACTCAGGCCTCAGAGCTCTGGCTCTGGAGCTCTCACATGGGCCTACATTTCAATCCCAGCCCTGCCACTGACTAGTATTTTGGCCTGGGATTGGTTAGCTAATCTCTCAACCTCGATTTCCTTGTTTAGAGAGGTAATTCCCATCTTAGAGAAATATGAGAGTGCTTACACAGTGCTTGCTACATGCAGAAATGTCAGGTGTTAGTTAACACTCCACGGTGTTCAGAAGTGGAGTGGCAGCCCCCATTGGCCAGCCCTGGGGGCCATCCCCAGGCCAGGCAGAAGGAAGGGATGATTGAGGATCCTAGCACCAGGACCCAGTAGATGCTAGCCCAGAGCAGAAATCCTAGAAGGCAGTTCTCTGGACCTGGGTCTCCACATCTGTCTCTCCAACCCTGAGAGTCACCCCCCGCCCCCGCTTTTGGGGGGAGGCGTGGCTTGGCCTAGAGTTGGTATCCTTTGCTTTCGTTCATCTCCGAACAGAGTTACTATCCTTTGGGCGCTCCTCAGGCTAGGGACACTTTGGAGCAGATGGGCTCTTTCTCTCTTACCCTACCCTTCCCCGAGCTCAGGGATGGACTCGCAGCCAGTCCTGGTTATTGTCTATGGCGCTAGCCTGCAGCCTCCCTCCAGCCCAGCTCCACCCCTTGCCTGCAAGGTCTATTTCCTAATAGCTGCTCCAACCACACACCTCGGTTCCGCGAGGAGCCCCTCCTCTTCCTCCCTCCCTCCCTCATCAGGGGAGGGACCAAAGAAGAAGGCTAACTTGACAGCAGCGCTTCTTTCTTAGCTAGTCACCGGCCCCTGCCCAAGAATCCCTGTGTGTGTGTAGCCTCGGCAGAGACGTGGTTCTCCTGGAGTCCCCAGGGTTTGCCGGAGCTTACGAGAACTGGGGAGGAGCCATCCCAGCCATGAGCCCCTGCAGGAATCTGCCAAGGGGCAAGTGGCCCGGCGTCCTCACACCCCTCTGGCTGCTGCGGAGGGAGAGGTGAGCGCTGGGCAGCCCGCCCACAGCCGGAGGTGCCGGGAGCCCTGGGCCTGTCATGGTGGCCATCCGCAGCCAGCCTGAGGCACTCCCAGACGGGTTTGCTGCTGAGCTTGTTTATCTGGTGTGGGAAGAAGATGGGGAGTTACTTGTCCGTCCCGGCTTACTTCACCTCCAGAGACCCCTTTCGGTGAGTTGGGCTCCGAGTCCCCTTTTCTATCTCCTCTTCTGGCCCCGGTCCTGAGGGGGAGGGCAGAGGCCTCCCTGAACTTGCCTCTCAGATTTCACTAGTCCTTTGACCATCGGTTCAGAATAGGCTTGGTGAAGACTCCCACCATGATCTAGGAATGGTGAGGTGAAGGATATGCCCAGGTGGAAGCTCCTGGGGAACTCTGGCTCTCCTTCCTTCCCAGGCACACCTGAAAGAGCCTCCAAAAGATGCCACTGACCCTGCCTGTTCTTGGTGTTACTGCTTCCGGGGGAAGAGCACAAATGGGGTGCTTTCTTTCAGCTCTCACATGTCTTACCTGCAGGCCTTGCTGTCTGCCAGGAATTTGCCTCAACAAGCAGGATGGGCAAGTTTTGCCAAACGGCATGGAAGAAGCTGGCAATACCTGGGTGTGGGCAACCTAGTACACAGTAGGTGCTCTATAAATGCTTTTTCTATTAATGGCAGGCATATTTGCCTCTGGCTTTAAGGGCTTCTGAGCTCCCAGGTGAGTACAGTTACTAAGGAAAGGCCTGGGCAGGTACTTCCAAGACTGGGGCAATTGGCTTTGGGCTTCGGGTAGCCCACCCCATCACCCCACCCCTGTTGCACACAGGTCAGGTTCCCAGGCCTGAGACTTCTGGGGGCCTTTTTCTGTGGAGCTTCTCAGAGGGAGGTGTGGAAACTTTCTACTTCTGACCTGCCTTTCTTTGCTCACTGCCCCACCCTACCTCCAACAGAAACTCCCCTGGGGGTTTCTGGCCCTCCGGGTCCCTTCTTGAATGGAGCCATTCCTGGCTGGGGTGGGGCTTGTTTTCATTCTTTGGGAGCAGCCTGTTGTTCCAAGGGCTGCCTCCCCCTCACCAGTGGTCCTGGTCTACTTCTCTCTTTTGGCTTCCCCAGCCCAGCTTCATGCCCAGACCTTGCTGCTGGGATACTAGTCAGGTGGCCGTGCCCTGAGCAGAAAAGCAGAACACCATGTGGTTTCAGGGAATTACTGGACTCTGGTAGAGTGATGGGAAGCCTTTGGATATGGGGGAGGGGGAAGGGAACTTGTCCTCTGTGCTGACTCTTCCAGGCACCCTGCTAGGCGCTTTATCCTTTGATTCTCTCAAAACCTAATGGCATTATGTATCCCCATTTTACTTAAGAGGCAGCCACTTTCAACAGAGTTAACACGTGGGGTCTCTCTGGCCAGTCTTCTCATATTCCTGAGTTTGTTTCATCTTTCCAAGAAGCTGCACCTTCCTCTGTTCGGACCTCCCCCCAGGGTGGTCTCAGATTTGCTTTTCTCTGCCAGCAGAGTCCAAAAAGGGCCCCCATAGGTTGCCTGGAACATCGGAGGGATGGCAGAGATTCCTTTCTGAAGAGCCAGTGGGAATTGATCTTGAGTTTAGGAGGCAGATTTTACCATGTGGAATCAAGATGCCAAATGTTTGAAATAGCCACTAGTTTAGCCAGAGCCTCATTAATCCCTCTTACTCTAATCCTGGAAAGGCAGTTTAGGGAAGGGGTTGTTCCCTTAGGAGCGAGGAATGCTGTGCCCCTTTTAATCTCTGGCGACAGGACACAACTCAGGAGCTAAAGCAGATAATGAATTCTCAACCTGGACCTTTGAGGGTCATGCCACTGATGCCACCCCAGGTCCATCTGTTCTTCCTTTGTCTTGCTCTGTCTCCGTGCCTCTGGGGAACCTGACTACCCTCTTTCTGCCCCAGTTCTTCTTTGCCCAGCTGGAGTTGGGGGGGGCGGGGGGGGTGTTGTACTGACTCACTTTAGACCCTCCCACCTCCCCCAAATGAGAGGCCACATCCCTGGAGCCACTTCTGAAGAGATAGCCAACACTTAGGGCTCTGTGCCCCACAGGAGGGACCACCCAGACCTTCCACTCTCCCAGGTAATCTGTCTAATCAATCACCACTGTCACTCACTAGTCAGAAAATCGCTTCCACCATCAGCCCCCTCCCTTATTACAGGGCATTCTCAATGGCTCCTCTCTGACCTGGTGCCAGTCCCCTCCCAGGACCTCAGTTCCTCCTCTGCAGAGCATAGGATTGGGCTTCCTAGACTCCTGAACACAACCCTTGCCAGATTCTGTGAAACAAATTAAGTCCTTGACCTGAAGCTTCTGGGGGAGTACAAAGTCCACCAGAGTTCTAGGGCTGTGGTTGGAGGAAAGTGACGCAACCAGATTCCACGGGGACATGATCAGGCGTGACAATGCGCAAAAGAGGGAAGGGAGCAGGGAATGAAGAATGTAATTTCTGTACTCTATATGCCTCTGCCTGACAGACTGCCCTCAACAGAGTACCACTAGTGTGAAGGGGAGATACAATTTTGGTCACTTCCAAGTAAGAACATGCCTCAAATTGGAATTTACAGAAGAGGTAAATTAAGGAGTGACTTTTGTCTGACATCTTTAAAGGATTTTTCTTTTTATAGAATTTCCCTTAATGTCTAACATTGATTTTAATGGGTTTGGTTTATACATTGTCTCTTGAAGAGAATAAGTGCATCTTTGTATCCTAAAGTAACCAGTGTTTAAAGGGAGAAATTATTTTTTTTTAAATGTTTTTATTTATTTCTAGGAGAGAGAGAGAGAGACAGCGTGAGCAAGGGAGGGTCAGAGAGAGAGAGGGAGTTACAGACTGAAACAGGCTCCAGGCTCTGAGCTGGCAGTCAGCACAGAGCCCGACGCGGGGCTCGAACCCACGAACCGCGAGATCATGACCTAAGCTAAAGTCGGACGCTCAACCGACTAAGCCACCCAGGCGCCCCAAGGGAGAAATTATTTTTAACTCTGCCCAGCTTATCAGTAACCTTTGACAGCTGCCTTAGGTCCTCTAAGACTCCTCATCTAAAAAGTGAAGGACTTGGATCAGGTGAATGATTCCTATAACCACAAGTCATGTGGCTCCTCAGAGATACACAAGCTCTTTTCCATTTTTTCCCTAATCATGGAGGCTCTACCCTTAATGTCAGTATGACTGCACAAATTCCTTGAATCTACAGGTTTCCTGGCTTTTGGTTGGAATTGAATCAATGCACTCTGGTAACACTTCTTGCTGATCAGAATATTGTTATGTGTTTGGTTATTTTTTTAAAGCAGGGTAATAGCATAGTCCATAAGAATTACAGCTTCACTGACAGCCTGTTTCAGTCTACAGGATGGATGGGAAGGAGGAGTAATAAAGGGATCTTTAGTGATAAGAGACTGGGCTTTGATGGGCCGGCATCTGTAGGTGCCTGTTATATCCATCCTTCTGTGCCTAGGGGAGAGTTGGCATCCCTGGTCACAGTATCCTCAGGCTATGGCAGAGAGACCTGCCCATTTTTCCTTTTTAGCCCAGTCAGAGCTCAGAGGCAAGGGTTTGGAAACAGCTTCTCCTCAACAGTCTGTCTGCCTATTCAGGAGACTAAAGATGAGCATCCAACCAGGCTTTACCAGGACATGAGAGGGCTTATTCTTTTTTTTTTTTTTTTTTTTTTAAGTTTATTTATTTTGAGGGGGAAGGGACAGAGAGAAAGAGAGAATCCCAAGCAGGCTCCATACTATTAGTGTGCATAGTCCAGTGTGGAGCTTGAACTCACAAAATGTGAGCTCATGACAGCTGAAATCAAGAGTCGGATGCTTTACTGACTGAGCCACCCAGGCGCTCCATGGTGGGCTTGTTCTTTAACTTGTATAAGTCTACTGTAATAGTGACTACTTCAGCCATATAAGGTTGAATGAAATATTACCTGTAAACATTTGGTCTGAAAAGTTTGCATGTGAGTGAGGGCTGGGCTTATTATGTCTTATCTCACTTGGCTTCTCCCAGCACAGCACCTTGCCTGTTTGGTCTTGCACATCCTAGATGCATGGTAACTATTTCCTAATTGATAGGAATTGATAATAGTCAATTGTTTTCTAATTTATTAGATAAATTATTCATTTTAGGACCTTCTTTACTCACAGAAATCGGTTTGGTTCTGGGCTAAATGTAGATCCATGTTGCTTAGGCACGGGAGGGAAATGAGTCTGTCTACTTTTGCCCTTGCTGTTCTCAAGTTAAAGAGGGGAGGGAGGGAAATGAACATTTAGCAGGCACCTGCTGTGAGCATTTTTACATAATTTTCATAAACTGGTGAGGTTATATCATTACTGGTGTACAAACTACAGCCTAGAGTCCTAAAGTAACTTGCTTGAGGTGACACAGATAGTAAATGGCAAAGAAAGAATGTGGACCCAGGTCTTGAAAGATTTATTTGTGAGAATAACCTAATCCCAACCTGATTATCTTTTTTCTTATCTCTCTCTCTCTCTTTTTTTTTTTTTAAACTGTGTTCCCTGATAACTCAAAAGTCCTTAGTTTGGGGCCACTGGCTGGTTCGGTCAGTGGAGCATGTGACTCTCGATCGGGTTGTAAGTTTGAGCCCCACACTGGGTGTAGAAATTACTTAAAAATAAAGCATTTTTTAAGCCCTTAGTTTGGGTCTGAGCTGCCCACTAAAGTGACCACTAAGGTTCATTTCATTTTGCAGCTACCCAAGCCCTCTACAGTGCTTTGGGAGAGGAATTTTGGAAGTTGTCCTTGACACATGTGGGCCTGTGATCTCCCCTGGCTGGAGGGTTTCAGCTCTGTTCCCTCTCGTTGCTCAGGAGAGGGTGGTGACTGATGCCTCAGACCTCAGTTCAGGGCTCCACCACCAGCTCCCCTACCTCCAAGCTGGATGCCCTTGGGCAACCTGCTGCTAGGGCAGATTTTGACTTTCACTTGAAACTTTCAAAAATTTGAAAGCTGCAAAAAAAAGTCTTGGCTTTGGGAGAAACATACTATGTCCATGGCCTTCAACAATCTGAGGGAGGATTTTTGATTGTAGCACTTTACATTTCCAGAGTGTGTTTTGGATTCTTTTTTTTTTTATGTTTATTTACTTTTTTCTTTTTTTTTAATGTTTATTTTTGAAAGAGAACAAGTAAGGGAGAGGCAGAGAGAGGGGGCACAGAGGATCTGAAGTGGACTGTGCTGACAGCGGGGAGCCCAATGTGGGGCCCAAACCCACGCGATGCAGGACTCTAACCTGCAAACCCCTGCACACCATGAGATCATGACCTGAGCCGAAGTCGGATGCTTAACTGAGCCACCTAGGCACCCCATAATGTTTATTTAGAGAGAGAGAGCATGTGTGTGTCTGCAAGCAGGAGAGGGGCAAAAAGAGAGGGAGACAGAGGATTCAAAGCTGGCTCTCTGCTGTCAGCACAGAGCCCAGTGCAGGATTCAAACCCACGAATCAGGAGATAATGACCTGAGCTGAAGTCCAATGCTTAACAGACTGAGCCATCCAGATGCCCCATGGATTCTTTTCGTAAAAAGGCAGAGACTGCTGGGGAACAGAATGCTGTGGACTAAAGGGAGGAGAATCATTGTGCCATTTAAATTCAGCACTTGTATTTAAAGGGAAGCCTCACAAAGTGTTGACAACTCAAGGGGACTTGAGCTCTCATTTTCACAGATGCAAATCCTGAGGCCCAGCTTAGTAGATGTGCTGCATTACTCAGGTGCTCAAGTGATGTAGTCTGGTGGAAATGACTTCATAACCAAGTAACACATAGGTTAAGACTCTAGCTCCATCCTGTATGTGTCAGGTGACTTTCCACAAGTGACTTGACTCTGCTTTTTAGTATTCTGTAAGACAGGGATAATCCCGTCACTTTGCAGGGTGTCGTCAGGATATAAGTAAGGCATCTCATAGAGCGCTCAGAATATGGTTGGCATTTAAGTAACAATTGACAGTAACTTTTCTTAATATCCAAGCCAGGACTCTAAGTCTTAACCACTCAGGCGACCTGAGAACCAGTTGTGTTCTGTGACAAAACAGCTTAGGGACCCACAGCCAACCTTCCTTTCAGCTGTTCACCTTCCTGTTTTTCAAACACACCTGTGTCAGCCAACTTTGGCTGTGCCGCTGGCTTTGGCTGTGTCGCTGGCCGTGCCCTTCAAAGGCATTCCTTGACATAGATGTCTGCATTGGTGATGTCGCTCTCCAGGCAGGTGTTCTTCCCAGAAGTCTGGCGTGGCTCTCTCCTGCATGTCTGCACTCGTTTCTCTCCCCACTCTCCTGGGCCTGGCCAGGGCTACTTGCAACAAACAAAAGCAGGATATTGGCAGTGGAAAGGAGGACGTGTTCTGGTACTCCTGTGCCCTGCAGCACACATACCATTGTGAGGGTGTAACCGGGCCCAGGCCTGCATTTGGGTGCAAATATGTGTGCACCAGCTTTCCTCCACTGCAGACAGTAGAAGGGCAGGACCTGGTGACCATGAGCCACAGAATGTTTCTGCTCCCACCTGGACTGCTGGTTCTTGCCACTCCCACCATTTTCAGTTTGGAAACCACTGCTAAGGGCTTACTGTACTGGGCTCTTTGTTAGGTGTTTAGTCTACCAACAGTAAATGGGACACTGCTCCTGTCCTCAGGGAGCTCACAGTCTAATGAAGGAGAAAGATAGGTACCTAGGACCTTCAAGTCAGAAGCTGGGAGGCAAGAAGGAAGTCCCTGCTCTTAGTGCTGGCCCTTTGGTAGGCTCCTCACAGTCATTCAGAACTGGATTTAGTGTCCTCACTGCTACCCTGAAAATAGGTGTTGATGTCGCCATTTGTCTCCTTTCACAAATGAGAAGTGAAGCAGCCAGCCCAAGATCACTTAGGTGGTAAGTGGTGATTCTGAGATTTGAACTTTAGATCATCTAGGGAAAGATATAGATAGGCATGGAATTAAGGGTATGTGGGGTATAGTCTAATTCCTTCATTTTACAGGTGGGGAAACTATATCCAGAGAAAGAAAGGGCCTTGTCCAAGGGCATGTAGCTCCTAAGAACTTGAACCACACCTCTTTCTTCCCAATTCAGAGCTCATCCAGCATGCCTTTTACATTGAAAGGAATTTGAGCTGCATGTCCAGAACAAGGTCTTCCCCTTTACCTCCTATAATTCATGGTTCTCACTGTACCATTCTGGTATTTCATATCCATACTCTTCATGCTGTATCCAGCTCTCAAGTCCCTGAAGTTTAGCATCCATAGAACAAGTAGGAGAGGGGCACCTGGGTGGCTTATTCAGTTGAGCGTCCAACTTTGGCTAAGGTCATGATCTCCCAGTTTGTGAGTTTGAGCCCCACGTTGGGCTCACTGCTGTTGGTGCAGAGCCTGCTTTGGATCCTTTGTCCCCTTCTCTCTCTGCCCTTCCCATGTTTGCATTCTGTCTCTCTCAAAAATAAATAAACATTTAAAAATAAAAAAGTAGGAGATGCTGCAGGATGCTACAGGGGATGGCTGATAGCAGAAGCCATCAGAATTAAACATCCAAAGGGAACTGGACACTCCATAAAGAGTGATTCTCAGGGTCCTGCTTCCCTAGACTTCCCTACCTCAGTTGCTTTCCACAGCCGCTTCAACTCATTCCTGTTTCCCTCCTCCCTCCTGCAGTGCCCAGAAGTAGTAGCAACCCATTATGACCTCTCACCTTTCATTGTTAATTAAGTTTTGTTTAGACTTTATTTTCCCCAGCTCGTTGTAAGCTCTTGGAAATTGTAGTAGGGAACCTTGTATATCTATCTTTTATATTTGCAGTGCCTAGCAAGATGCTGTAATAATACACTTGCTCTGCTCTTCGCAGTTTGCAAAAGGCTTTCCTCATACATTAGCTCATTTAGTCTTCATAGTGTTCTTTGTAGTAGTGTGCTATTAGTTGCATTTTGTCAAGGAGGAAGAGCTACTGAGAGAAGTTGTCCAGAGCTACCCAGCTAGTGGAGGAAATGGCAAATAGAGTAAGCAGCTGACATTATCATCAACTTTAATAGCAGTTAACACTTAATGAGTTCCTACTGTACTTAGCCTTTTATATAAACCACCTATATAGTTTGGTACATATTATTTCATTTCCACAGTATCCATTTTACAGGTGAGGAAACTGCATCAGAGACGTGAAGTAACTTCCCAAGATGACCTAAGTGGCAGGGTCAGGATTCACGTTAAGAGGCCACTCCATCCTGCCTCTCAGAAGTAAGGATAAGGCCAGTGAAGAGTGGTGTGAAGCCTTGACAATAAGAATAGAGCCTTCGCTGGAAAGAACGAGGTGGCATGGCCTCACCAGGGTAGGGAGCCCTTAGCTCTGAGTGCTAGGAGGCTCAGAAATGAGGAGGAGCTTCTATTTTGCAAACCTGGTCTAAGAACCCACCAACCTGACTGAGGGGTGGAACTTTATAGTCAGGTAACTGGAGGAGAAAGGAGCTGTGAGCCTAACATGTGTATCTTGCACAGTGCTAGTGGAATTTTGTTTTCCCCCATTATTTTATTTTCAAAAATTTCAAATATGTAGAAGAGTTGAAGGAAAAGTTCAAAGAACACCCAGTGTATATCTTTCACCTAGATTTAACTTTAAGCTACTTTCTCTTTAATTATGTATACACATGATGTATTTTGTTGCTGAACTGTGTAAAAGTAAGTTATAGATATCTTGAATTTCACCCTTAATTACTCTAATTTGTTTCTTCCAAGAAAATGAATAGTAATTTCACAGTATAATCTAATGTATAGCCCAAACTAAAATTTCCTCAGTTGTTCCAAAAATTTCACTTATGGCTGTTTTCTTTTTCAATCCAGAATTGAATCCAGGGTTTAGATCCTGCATTTGGTTGCTGTGTCTCTAGGCTTTTTTAATCCCTGTACCTTTTTGCCCCCATGACATTAACTTTTTGGAAGAGTGAAGAACAGCAGTCTTACAGAATGACCCACATTCTGGATTTACCTGATTGTTTCTTAGTGCTTAACATAATTTTTTCACACGAATGCTACATGTTAATAAATTATGTTAATAAAACTTAATATCACCAGTGGTGTTTGTAATGGATTGGGTTTTTTGAAGAACAGAAGTGATTGAGCTTCTTTGGTTCATTAAGATATCTGTCTAGACCAGAGTTTCTTTTTTTGAGAGAGAGAGAGAGGGCATGTGCAAGCTGGGGGAGAAGGTCAAAGGGAGAAAGAGAATCTTAAGCAGGCTCCACGCAAAGGGCTCAATCCCATGACCCTGGGATTGTGACCTGAGCTGAAATCTAGAACAGAGGTTCTTAACTAGGGCCATGACTAGGCTTCAGACCTTGACACACACACACACACACACACACACACACACACACACACGTGACCTGAGCTGAAATCTAGAACAGAGGTTCTTAACTAGGGCCATGACGAGGCTTCAGACCTTGACACACACACACACGTGACCTAAGCTGAAATCTAGAACAGAGGTTCTTAACTAGGGCCATGACTAGGCTTCAGACCTTGACACACACACACACCATACCTAAATAATATGTACATTTTCCTTGTATATGCCTTTTTCCGAGAGAGGCTTCTTAACTCTTACTAGATTCTCTGAGGGCTTCAAGACCCAAAAATGTTCAAAAAAATAAACACTGGTCTGCCAGGTGAGGTATGCAATACAGAACTAGTTTCTGGGATCTTTTTTATTCTGAATTGGCTTCCTTTGGAGAGATGGCAGTAAACTGTAACTTTTCTCCATCCTGGCATTGGATCAAAGAGTGGTCTGTCCCTTTCGTTAGACCTGGGAGCCAGAGACAGCCTGTGTAATCTGGTTCCAGGGATCCAGAAGAATTTCTTCTTGTTTTGCCTTTCAGGTGTTCAGAATGCCAGGATTCCCTCACCAACTGGTACTATGAGAAGGATGGGAAGCTTTATTGCCACAAGGACTACTGGGGGAAGTTTGGGGAGTTCTGCCATGGGTGCTCTCTGCTGATGACAGGGCCTGTCATGGTGAGTGAGTTCATCAGAGCCCATTGACAGTTCCTCTGGTTTCCCCGTGGCCTTTCATCTTCTAGTCTTCCATCAGCCAATGCCTTCCCTTTTATTTCTTCAATCATTTAACAGATGTTTGTTGAGTACCAGTTAAGTGCCAGGTAAGATCCTTCCCTTAAAAACTTAACAGTCCAGGGGCATCTGGGTAGCTCAGTAGGTTGAGTGTCCGACTGTTGATTTCTGCTCAGGTCATGATCTCATGGTTCCTGGGTTTGAGCCCTGCATCAGGCTCTGTGCTTGATAGCACGGAGCCTGCTTGGGATTCTCTTGTCTCTCTCTCTCTCTCTCTGCCCCTCCCCTGCATGTGTGCTCTCACTCTCATGCGCGCTCTCTCTCTCTCTCTCTCTCTCTCTCTCTCAAAATGAATACATAAACATTCTTTAAAGTTAAAAAAATAAAAACTTAACACGCTGATATTGGGGGTGGGTAGGTGGGCCGGCAGAGAGGAGACATAATACAATGGGACAGAGACCTCAAAGGAGAACATTACAGGTTGAGAGGAGAATACACCCAAGTTGTGTGCAGGGATTCTGAAAAGGAGACCCTGGAATGGGCTGGTAGAGAGAGGTTCCACCTCCACTACCTGCTTCAGAAAAGGGCTGTAAGCCCAATCACGGATTTGCCAACTCTGTTGGAGGAACTATGTGTCTTTCTAGTGGGGATGATGCCTTCTGGGGACTTGTGCTTATGGCTGAGACCAAAACAGTTTTTTGTAATCTCAGAAATGGCAGGGAGGCACCAATCTGACTCATCCTCTGGAAGCTCTGGGGCAAGGACTGCAAAGGACCTGTAGATCCTTGATTAGAAATCACTCACCCACCCCTACCCTCCAGCAACAGTGGCAACTCACTTCCTCCATCTGTCATCTGTCTACCCTTCTCCCCACCCGCTCACAGGTGGCCGGGGAGTTCAAGTACCACCCAGAGTGTTTTGCCTGTATGAGCTGCAAGGTGATCATCGAGGATGGGGATGCATATGCTCTGGTGCAGCATGCCACCCTCTACTGGTAAGATGGTGTCCCTCTCCTCTACAAGAACAGTCAAGAGAGAGGAACAGATGGCAGTGTGAGTTGGGCAGAAATAGTATGGGGATATCAGAGCACTGGATTCCTATCCCAGCAATGCACATAAACAGCTCTATATTCTATAAGCAAGAAAAGTAACATCTCTCTGCCCTCTGTCCTTACCTACCCTGAGAATAATGACATTGCACTGCAATCATCCCAGAGGGAGAGAATGGCTCAGAAGGTGCTCTCAGAGAAGGATCCCAGAAAATTAAAGGCAGAGGCCCCTTAGAGTTCATTCGGACAATTGCCTCAGTTGGCAAAGAAGTCAGGCTGAGGCCCAAAATAGGGAAGAGTGCTGGGTTCTCACTGTGAGTCGAAGGCAGAGTGAAGAGAACCCAAGCCATCTCACCCCCACTTCCAGACCCTGGGCTCCTCTTTCTGAGCAACCAAGTGGAATCATGGCAAGGATGGTAATAGTGGGACTGTGGGTACTATTGCTTGAAGCCACATGGTATGGTGGTTACTGGGGGCTTCTAGGTGGGGCTTCAGGATCTTAACCACCTTTATGTTCCTCTTGCTAGTGGGAAATGCCACAATGAGGTGGTGCTGGCACCCATGTTTGAGAGACTCTCCACAGAGTCTGTTCAGGACCAGCTACCCTACTCTGTCACACACATCTCCATGCCAGCCACCACAGAGGGCAGACGGGGCTTCTCTGTGTCTGTGGAAAGTGCCTGCTCCAACTATGCCACCACTGTGCAAGTAAAAGAGTGAGTATTTTGAGAACACCATGAGCAGGAGTCCTTACACAGAGTCCATAGATGGGCCTCAAGGGGTGCAGAGCTCTCTTCACCCCCACCTCGTATCTTTCTCCTGGAGCTTACTGTGCTGTAACTACACCTGGGCCTTGGCACTTACTCCTTCTGCCTAAGCTGCTTCCCACAAGATACTTAATGACAGAACTGTTCACCTTTCACGTGTCAAGTTTCAGATAATGTTTGTTCTTTAAAATTATCTGGCTTGATTATATGGATTCGTTTATCATGTTTCCTCCCAAGAAGTTCCTTCTGGAACTTAGTCTTGTTCAGTACTGTATGTCCAAGGCCTGGAACTGTGTCTGGCATGTAGTATATGTTTATTGATTATTGTTCTGTTCATTGAGTGAATGAATGGAGGAAGGAGGAGAAAGAGGTTAAGACTTTATCCTAGGTCCAGGCCAGACACCAGATGGGGAAAGAGCCTGTGTTTGTCTAATGCCAGTAATGAGGAACCTATGGCTGCCAACCCTATAAATAGTGACTGTACACTTACTATGTGCTGAGCACTAGGTGCTTGCAGTACAGATGAGAGGTATCAAGGTTGGGGAAGTTACCAAGAGGTGAGATCTGCACTAAAACCTCATTAGATGAAGAGGGGAGGGAATTGTGTTCAGGGAAGAGTTGGAAGTCTATGATTGTGTCTGGTGTAGATTGGGTAGTTGGGAATAGCCAGAAAGGGGGACTAGTAAGTCATGTAGGGCCTGGATTATGAAGACTCAGCAGGTCTTTTGAAGGATAAGCAACAAGGTGATACAACCAGGTTAGCATTCTATAGGGATTACTGGCATGGATGTTGGATGGGAGAGGAGCAAGCCTGGAAGTATAGAGACCAGAGACCAGTTAGGAGGCTATTGAAAGATCCAGGTGAGAGATGTTGGTAACCATGGTGATGAAGTGAGGGCAGAATTCTCAAAGATGGTAAGGGTTGTGGAGCAGTGAGAGAACTCTGGATAGGGGAGGTGCCATCCAAGTCTCTGACTTAGGCCACTGAGTGAGTGGGGGTGCCCTTCACTGAGATGGGGCATCTTGTAAAGGGTGTTGCATTTCCCTTGTGAATTGTTTGGGCTTTGGGGGCTTGTCAGGGCCTGGGGCATGGTGAACCTTCCTATACAAGTGAAATTGGTCAACTCTTGTCTGGCCCAGGGTCAACCGGATGCACATCAGTCCCAACAATCGCAATGCCATCCACCCCGGGGACCGCATCCTGGAGATCAATGGGACCCCTGTCCGCACACTCCGAGTGGAAGAGGTATAGTGTGTGTCCAGCCTGTCTTGTGGGGGTGGAACATGGAATAGACCCTCTGGGAGATCAGGCTATGGACCTTTACCTTTCCCCACCCCCAGTCTATCTCTTTGTCTTGCCACTGACCCTGTGACCACTGGGGTGACCTGTGTCAGCCTGGCACATTCCCAGGGCAGCAGGAATGGCCTGACAGATGGGATATCAGACAGGATGCCACAGAGACGGCACTGGGGCTCCTGGCAGCTAGAGGCCACCATTAGCCAAGTTGAGTATTGGCCATACTGTGCTGAGATCATTGGGGCTGACAGTGGGTGGCCTAGGTTGGGACAGCCTTTGGAAGCCAGCCTTACACTGTTCTTGGCTACAGGTAGAGGATGCAATTAGCCAGACAAGCCAGACGCTTCAGCTCTTGATTGAACATGACCCCGTCTCCCAGCGCCTAGACCAGCTGCGGCTGGATGCACGGCTCTCTCCCCGCATGCAGAATACTGGACACTCCCCTACTCTCAGCACCCTGGACACCAAGGAGAATTTGGAAGGAACGCTAAGGAGACGCTCCCTGAGGTGCTACCTCCCACCCTGATTCCATACTGACCCATGTCTATCCTTCAGATGAGGCTGAGGAGAGTTAGGAAGGGAACCCGCTGGCCAGAGATAGGCCATGAGGATTGTGCTGACCCAGCTCCCTCCATAGGGATCACAGCTCACAACCAGGGCCTTTGCGTGATCTAACCCAGCTGTCTCCCAGGTTTCGTTAGAAACCAGAGAATCGGCTCTGTCCACTGAACTCCTGAGCTAGGTAGGAAGCAACAATGCTGACCCCCAAAGGACAGCATGGCCCATGGGGGAAGCATGGGGCTCAAAGAGGATTAATAAGTATAAATAAGAACACTGAAAACTGTAAAGCAAGAGATGGATGCAAGCTGTTTTAGATTTGAGTGACCAATAGTCAAAACCTCGGAGTTCCAAGTCCATAGGGAGAGCAATCATACTGGATACAGGTGCCAAATAGGGAGGCTGAAAGAACAGGAGTCAGGAGCTCTCCAGGCAGACACACCCATACCATGCCTTTGAGCTGTGCTCCCTCCCTTCACAAATCATTTCATCTCTCTGAGCCTCTGTTTCTGCGTCTATAAGGTGAAGTTGTAAGACAAAGGTGGCTATCTCACCAATTATGTAAGGATTCAATGGGGAAAGGGATGCAGAGTGGCTCAATGCCAGCATAGGGTGAACACTAAGTCAATGTGAGGTGGTGTTAGTATCACTAGGAATCAGGTCCTTTATCTGCCCTCTTGATCAAACAGACTGAATCACTCAGGGCCCTTGACTGGGATCTGTTGGAAACAGGGCCCTCCCCACCGATTGCTGGGCATGCACTTCTGGCTGTTTTCTTGGCCTCAGAATGAGTGAGTTCGTAGAAGTGGGGTGCCAGAGTGCAGAGAAGACCTGAGAACATGGCTTGGAAGTGGGAAGATGTGGGGGTGGCCAGGGAGCTGCTTAGATGTCTGGAGGGCTATCCTGGAGGAGAGAAGGCAGCGCACGTTATGTGCTTCTGTGGGCACAGTTGGTGGGAGGCAAAGCAAAAGAGCAAGGGTTGAAAAGCCTGTGTGCGGTCCTTTCTGGGTAGCCCAAGTGAAACAGGAGGATGTGGCAGAGAGAAGTTTGCAGGGTTGTAATTCACTTGCACTGCTGTGGATTTCAACCTTCATGTCCTTCAGGAAATCACTAACAGTTCTCAATCATTATTATTACTGGCTGCTTTTATTGCTGTAAAAACCATACATGCTTATTATTTTAAAATTTGGAGGTACACCTATGACCCAGCAATAGCACTGCTAGGAATTTACCCAAGGGATACAGAAATGCTGAGGCATAGGAGCACATGTACCTCAATGTTCATAGCAGCACTCTCCACAATAGCTAAAACATGGAAAGAGCCTAAGTGTCCATCAACAGATGAATGGATCAAGAAGATGTGGTTTATCTATACCATGGAATACTACATGGCAATGAGAAACAATGAAATCTGGCCATGTGTAGCAACATGGATGGACCTTGAGGGTGTTATGCTGAGCGAAATAAGTCAGGCAGAGAAGGACAAATATCATATGTTTGCACGTATAGGAGGATTAGGAGGAACTTGACGGAGGAACAAGGGGGAGAAGAAGGGCGGAAATGGTGGGGGAAAGGGAGAGAGGCAAACCATGAGAGACTCTTGAATGCTGACAAAAACTGAGGACTGATGGATGTGGGGGGGAGGGGGGATGGGCATGGAGGAGGGCACTTTGGGGATGAGCACTGAGTGTTATGTGGAAACTAATTTGACAATAAACTATTTGGAAGAAAAAAAAAAATTTGGAGGTACAAAGATGAGCAAAATATCCGAATCCCATTTGGTCATTTTTTGGATGGTGGTAGGCTACCACTCTAACCCAGTTCCGTATCTTGAATCAACCAGACATGTAAAGTGGTGGGTTACCATCCTACAGTGCTGTCATATATTGAGCACTATAGGGTTCCTGCTTTGAATGTGGTTTTATTATACTTAAATAAACTACTGATATTTGCAGCCCCAAAATGGCACATCTATCTGACATAAGAGGTCCTTCCCCTCATCGTAGCACCTGAACTACAGAAATTGGGATGGATAAGGTGGTAAGGTAGTCTTGGGGTTTCTACCTCCAAGGTTTTTATGGCAAGTCTCTGAGGACTACCCTATCCCTACCCTCGTCTTTCCTTATCTTCAGGCGCAGTAACAGCATCTCCAAGTCCCCTGGCCCCAGCTCCCCAAAGGAGCCCCTGCTCTTTAGCCGTGACATCAGCCGCTCAGAATCCCTTCGCTGTTCCAGCAGTTACTCACAGCAGATCTTCCGGCCATGTGACCTGATCCATGGGGAGATCCTGGGGAAGGGCTTCTTTGGGCAGGCCATCAAGGTGAGCACAGGCAGCAGCTGGTCTGCTTCTCGGCCACCTACCCTTATCTCACCTTCTTTTGGGGAGCTCTTATCACATGGTCTCACCCCATACATACTCTGCAGGACACCAGGCCACCTAAGGGCAGTATTGCTGTTGTAGTGAACTTGGTGGACCTGGAGACCCAGGTTGGGATGTGTTGTGCCCATGGCCCTTCCACCTCCAGTCATTGGGTGTTTTTAGGTGCCCAGAGGCTTGAATGCTGGGTATACTGCAGGGAGCACACAGGGAAGTGGCTCCTGCCTCCCTGATGAACAGTCTTGGGGACTAACCTCTCTCTCTTTCTCTCCTCCTCCTCCTCTGCTGAGAGCTGGGAGGGGGGGTCAGGTAAGCCATGTGTCTCAGCTTTCAGGGTATCGGGGCTGGAGAGCTCACCCTGACCCACCTAGTTCCCTGGTGCATGTCTGTGGCACTGACCCCCTCCTATCCCCAGACTTCTGTTCACCCAAGGGAACACTCCTTTGTCAGATAACCAAAGCCCCTGCTTCGCTTTGCAGTGTCCCCTCCTGCCACCTCACTTCCCTTTTCTGCATTCTCGCCTCCCCTCTGTGCATGCCCCACCCTCCAAAGAGGGTATGCTCCCCTCTGAGGCCCCTGTTGCCTCGTGCTGTGTCTTCTACACATGAACTCTGTCAGTCTGATCTGGCTCAATGTGTCTTCCAGGGTATGGGATGGCCAGTTGCATATATTTTCACACATTTCCCCAGAACTCTGCACCACTAAAAGTTGCCCTCCTTGTAACTAGGTAACACACAAAGCCACGGGCAAAGTGATGGTCATGAAGGAGTTAATTCGGTGTGACGAGGAAACACAGAAGACTTTTCTGACTGAGGTAAGAAGGTGGGGTAGGGGTTAGGAGTGTGGTGTCACTTGGCGCGCCTGGGTAGCTTAGTCGGTTAAGCATCCGACTTTCGCTTAGGTTATGATCTCACGGTTCGTGGGTTCGAGCCCCGCGTCGGGCTCTGTGCTGACTGCCAGCTCGGAGCCTGGAGCCTGTTTCAGAGTCTGTGACTCCCTCTCTCTCTGACCCTCCCCTGCTCACGCTCTCTCTCTCTCTCTCTCTCTCTCTCCTAGAAATAAATAAAACATTAAAAAAAATTTTTATTTTTTAAATAAAAAAAAAAGGAGTGTGGTGTCACTCTTGGAAGAAGAAAGATCTTACTAAATTAGCAGTTTCAGGAAGAAACTTACTTTATTTTGTTATTTTTTTTAATTTAATGTTTATTTTTTCAAAAATTTTTAATGCTTATTTAGTTTTGAGAGAGACAGAGAGCACGAGCGAGGGAAGGGGCAGAGTGAGAGGGAGAAACAGAATCTGAAGCAGGCTCCAGGCTCTGAGTTGTCAGCACAGAGCCTGATGTAGGTCTAGAACCCACAAACCATGAGATCATGACCTGTGTTGAAGTCAGACACTTAACCGACTGAGCCACCCAGACACCCCTAATGTTTATTTTTTGATAGAGAGAGAGAGAGAGACAGAGTGCAAGCATGGGAGGGGCAAAGAGAGAGGGAGACACAGAACCCAAAGCAGATTCCAGGTCTGAGCTGTTAGTACAGAGCCCAATGTGGGCTTGAACCACAAACCATGATATCATGACTTGAGCCGAAGTCGACACTTAACTGACTGAGCCACCCAGGCGCCCCCGGAGAAAACTTATTTTAGAATCACTTTCTTAAAAGTTGGGCAGAAAACAGCACTAGAGGAATATCCTGCCCCCTCTAAATACAGCATAATGACCTGTTCAATAAACATGTACTAAAGACAGCACAATTTGGGTACAAGGGATAGAGTAACAAACGGGATGTGGTTCAGAGGAGCTTATAGCTAGTGGGGGTGATGGACATGAAAATAGACCAATTTAGGACAAGTAGATGTTATACTCACCATCTGAACACCTTGCTAAGGGAACCTGGAATGGAACTTTCCAGAGAATTACCAACTCTTGAGCATTTACACAGAGGTTTTACCACCTCTCCCAAGTTGTTACATTCCTTCGGTTGGTAGTCCTGTGATCCAGGTATTGCCCTTCAGGCCTTTGTTTCACTCCTGGACCCTCCCATTCCAGTTCTCCCCAGTACAATTCCTAGAAAGGCAGCATCCCAGGGTGAGGCCTGTGAGGCATCCCTATCCATGTGGAGGTGTTCTGCCCCATCACATAAGACTGGAGGTAGGAGATGCAAGTAACAGTTATCAGACTGACTCCTTGGATGGAGGGGGTGAGGAAGACATAGTAGAAAGTAACCATCCACCCTCCTTGGTCTTCTCACTCCCAGGTGAAGGTGATGCGCAGCCTGGACCACCCCAATGTGCTCAAGTTCATTGGTGTGCTGTACAAGGACAAGAAGCTGAACCTGCTGACAGAGTACATTGAAGGGGGCACACTGAAGGACTTTCTGCGCAGTGTGGTGAGCACACTACCCTCGCTGCTTTGCCTACAAAGGGTCTTGCTGAGTATGATTGGGCACAGGCAGGGAGGGTTCACTGGCAGACCATGTTGACGCATGGGGCCTGGACCACAAATGGGATAGGTCAGGTCCCACAGACTCTGATGACCATTCTCCCTTCCCATAGGATCCATTCCCCTGGCAGCAGAAGGTCAGATTTGCCAAAGGCATCGCCTCTGGAATGGTGAGTTCTGCCAACAATCCTGTCATCTGTGGGAGTGGTTGTGAGGTGGTGATGGGGAGGGACTGCAGGCAGGCACTGAAAGGCAAAGACCCCATCCTGGGCAGCTTATATGGGTTGGGTCAGTCAGCCACTATTTATTGAGCTTTCTGTGCCCCCAGTTGTCCTTTCTTAGCTCACAACCTACCTCAAAGAATTCCAAATCTTTAAGGGAAAACTGGAGAGGCAAACTAATAATGTCCAGCCACTGCAGGAGCTTGGAGCAAGCAGGAAACCTCACTGCCTATGAAATCAGAGGAGGGGGAAATGTGTTCTAATTGAGCCCTGAAGGATGGGTCAGAATTGGATAAAAGTTCCTCTTGGCAGAGGGGCCCCAAGGTTGAGGTGATGATAGCAGCAAAGACCTAGGAGAGAGGAGGTAATAATCTATTTCACCTGAGAAAGAATGATACCAATTATAGTAGTAGTAGTACCAGGGACAGTTGCTGAGTGCTTTCTGTATGCCAGGCACTGAACTGAGGGACTGTCATACGTGTATGTGTTTGTTCCTCGTGACAGCCTGGTTTCCAGATGAAAAGCTGATGCTAGAAAGCTAGAAAGAGGGAGGAGCTTGGGCTCATCAGTCTGACTCCCAAGCCTGAGGCTTTAATCACCGCTCTTCGTGTGGGGTCCATTAAGACAATGTTAGTCTGGGGGTATGTTAAGGTCCCTGTATTTCAGGCTAAGGAATCTGAATTTTATTTAGGAAGCCAAAAAGACAGGTGTAAAAGATAATTAAGCAAGGAAGTTTTGTGAGCAGAGCTTTGCTTTTTTTTGAGGTACCTAGAAGAATGGTGGCATCATTTACCACATGTTGGGGAGGGCAGTGATGTTAGAGAAACAGGTTTGGGAAGACCTAGTGTCCACTGAGGCTGACGTGTGGTTAGTGGGCATCAACATGTGTAGAAAAGGTGGATTTGAGAAGGGCTGACACCGAGGAGGCTAGAAGGAAACAACGGCTACACAGGAGTCTCAGGAACAGGTAGCATGGGAAAAGTTCTAGCAGCTTTTGGGGAAAGGACAGGCAAGCAGGCAGGTCACAAGAGATACAGCGATTCAGGAATAGCTCCCAGGGTATGTGAGCAGAGCAAGGAGCCTAGGAGATGCAAGCATTGTTGCAAAGGTCAGGGGAGGGAAGTAGCTCCTTCCACATTTGCTGGGGAAGAGAAGAGAAAAGGAAGTGGCTACAGAGTGATAGGAGCCAGGAGTGGAGGCTGGGGGGTAGGAAGGGGTTAACAAAGACTTGTGTGATAACATTGGGGTAGGAAGAGGGAGAGGTTAAAGTGTAGAAGAACAAGGAGGGTGCTGAGTCTCAGGGAAGGAGAATGTCAGGAATACAAAGCCAGCTGGCAAGGAGGAGGTCACTTCTCCAGTCACAGGCAGTGAGGGTGGCTGAAGCCAGAGATTATGGTGAGGATGGCAGTGAAGAGGCCTGGAGCAGTGCATCTGAGGGCCTTCACTCCAGGTGGCCTGGTTCTACATAAAATGGGTAGAAGGGCTGGGGGCGTGCAATGGCCAGGGCCCAATAGAGTTGGGGGCTTTGGGAGGGAACACTGAGAGTCTAGAACGCCACTGGGTTGGGGTCAGCGAACCAAAGGATGGGCAGGAGGTGGCAGCAGGGAGAGTAGAGAAAGCCCAGGCAGCCTTTGGCTTTCTCTTAGTGTTGGGACAAGCGGGGAGACAGCAGGAGGCCCTTGCCCTAAGGTCCAGGTTGGGTTCTGAAGCTGAGTGGGGGTGCCCTGGAAGAAAAGCAGGCCCCTCAGTTCCAGGGTCTGCATCTGCTTAAATTACTGGCCATTGGCCTCAGCTCTTACTTCTGTTCCAGGCCTATTTACACTCCATGTGCATCATCCACCGGGATCTGAATTCACACAACTGCCTTATCAAGCTGGTAAGTCCCCACCATTCTGGGCTTCCCCAGGGCCAGCCCTCTTGCCTTGTCACAAAGGAGACTGTACCTTGTGCTTTAGCCTCAGGTGTCACCTAGGGCTTCTGTCCTGCCCTTCCTGCTGCACCTGATGCCCTCCTGTGTCTTCTGGGGGCTCTCAAACACATGTAGACACAATAACACCTCCTCCCAGTAGCTGCCTTTGAAATCCTTTAGGTAGAGGGGACTTCAGAAGTTCCATAACACTACAAAGAGCCCTGTTGTTTTTCCTGGTTTCACCCCATGATAGTTCTGTAAAGCAGCTCACTGCAGACCCTGTTCTATAACTGTGGCACCTTGAAGCCTCAGTCTAAGGCCATAGAGCTAGCTAGTAAATGTACAGTGGCCAGTTTGGGATCAGCATTTTTTCCCACCAACCATCAGCTCTGGTTGTTAGCATGTCATTTTTCTGTTAACTTGGAATCTAGCTCCTTAGGTGTCCACTAACTGGCCCTGGCTCCACCCTCTGGATCCACACTAAACAATCTTAACCCTCTTTCCAAATGATTGCCCTGTAGCTATTTGAAGAGCTAAATCCCCCCACTGACTCCCTACACCTTGTATTTTTCCGTCTTATCCTGGTTCTTGCCATGCTTTATATCTTTTGGGGAACAAGGCAGAATGGAGTAAAAAAAAGAAAGAAAGAGAGAAATCCCTTTTCCTGCTTCTGAGTTCCACTCTGCAGTTCCCAGAGCCTTACCACTCCAGGCTCCAGGGGCTCTTTTGTGAATACTCCCAAGTCTGGGAGGTCTGAGGAGCAGATACCAGACTGTTAGAAAACAAATAACTGAGCCTTATCTACCAGAGCATTAGCTGTGACTCCCCTTTGCTGCATTCCTTTTCTCCCCTTCTCAATGACTTCTTTTGGGAATGTCCTCACCAAGTCCTGACCTGGCCCTTGTCCTATCAGGACAAGACCGTGGTGGTAGCAGACTTCGGGCTGTCACGGCTTATAGTTGAAGAGAGGAAAAAGCCCCCAGTGGAGAAGGCCACCGCCAAGAAACGCACCTTGCGTAAGAATGACCGTAAGAAGCGCTATACAGTGGTAGGAAACCCCTACTGGATGGCCCCTGAGATGCTGAATGGTGAGTCCTGGCACCGGACACTGGAGGTGACATGTTCCAGAGGGGAGTTAGGAGCCACATCTTACAGCAGAGTCCTGGGTTAAGTGGAAGGCCAGGTATCCAGAGCTAACAGCTGGATGATTTTTATCCCTTGCCAGATTGGGCCTTATAAATCCCTTCCTCCCTGAGCTCCTGGGTTTAGGGTGAGATCTGACTATGACTTTTGTGCCCCAAGAGTAACTGAGAGCTCAGGCTGTTTATTTTATTTTTTTTTTTTTTACAAATAGTTTATTGTCAAATTAGTTTTTACATAACACTCAGTGCTCATCCCCAAAGTGCCCTCCTTCATGCCCATCCCCCCCTCCCCCCCACATCCATCAGTCCTCAGTTTTTGTCAGCATTCAAGAGTCTCTCATGGTTTGCCTCTCTCCCTTTCCCCCACCATTTCCGCCCTTCTTCTCCCCCTTGGTCCTCCGTCAAGTTCCTCCTAATCCTCCTATACGTGCAAACATATGGTATTTGTCCTTCTCTGCCTGACTTATTTCGCTCAGCATAACACCCTCAAGGTCCATCCATGTTGCTACACATGGCCAGATTTCATTGTTTCTCATTGCCATGTAGTATTCCATGGTATAGACAAACCACATCTTCTTGATCCATTCGTCTGTTGATGGACACTTAGGCTCTTTGAGCTCAGGCTGTTTATTGCCGGAGATTTAGCTTTTTCTTTCTCCCGGCTGAAAACTGAATTATGGTTCCCCCTTGTGGATAATGCTCAAACCAGCCAGAGATGCTGGCTAGGATTCTTGAAATATACAAGGTTGTAAGGCCTCAGAAATGGCCTTCTGGTTTAACCTTTTTTGGAGTCTTTTTTTTTTTAAGCTGTTGGTGATTTTTTTTTTTTTAATGTTTATTTATTTTGAGAGAGAGTGTGTGTGTGCAAGAGCAGGGGAGGGGCAAACAGAGAGGGAGAGAAAGAATCCCAAGTAGACTTCACATTCAGTGCAGAGCCTGATGTGGGGCTCAATCTCACAACTATAAGATTATGACCTGAACTGAAATCAAGAGTTGGGTACTTAACTGACTGAACCACCCAGGCACTCTAACCCTTTTTGGAGTCTTGAGGCCCAGAGAAGTTCATCAGTTTGCCAAACATACAGCTAGCTAATGACAGAGTCCAGATGAACCCTGATCCAGCTCTCTTTCATTGTCCCATGTAGTTTCATTTTGGGTAGTATGTTTTATAAGCTCTCTGAGGCAGCCTACCCAGGGCTGAGGAAAGATGTTCAGGTGGTACCTGTCCTGGGCAGCCTTCAGGACATCCCCATGGAGACTCTTCTAGCCCTGGTTCTTGGCTATGGCCTGGCTTGGCCCCAGACTCAGTGCAGAGCAGGTAAGAGACCAAACCTAACAGCCTGCTCTCCTGTGTTCTCCAAGGAAAGAGCTACGATGAGACAGTGGATGTCTTCTCTTTTGGGATCGTTCTCTGCGAGGTGAGCTCCAGCCTGCACAGAAGCCAGGCCTGAGGCAGTGGGCCTGATGGCTCTGCCCTGCCTCAGAACTGGGCTTCTCCTAATGATGAGTAGCTTACCATAAAATCAACACAAATGTGGGGTTGTGCAGTTATCACACATCTGTTGACACATTTGAGTCTCATCAGTCCCATGAGAAGGACTGGGCAGGGTTTTTTCAGGTGAGGAAACTGAGGCTCAGGGGCAGCAGCTTGCGTTTAGTCACATAGCCAGTAAGGGGCAGGTGAGACTCAGAACTCCACTAGGAAAGGCAGGAAGCTGTCCTTATGGTTGTCTATCTAGCTGTTGGGCCAGATGTAACCTTTCCCTCTCTTCCCCCTTCCCCAGGCCCTGATTGTGCTGCTGCCCTCAGCCCCACAAGTGGAAGTAACCACCACAAGAAGTGCCAGCCTGTCTAGCACAGCGCTAATCACTGTGAGGCAGATAGACTTAGACTTGGGAAGATTCGTCCCCTTAGGAACTTAATTCAGTCTGTCTGGAAGCACTCAAACATATGTTTCAGAGCCTTCTGTAATTCCTACAAAATGGTGAATGGTAGAGGAGAGACAAGGACAGTTGGAATAATGAAAGAGGGTTTTTCTATTAAAGAAAAAATTATTTTCTTTAGTAGAGATCAGTTGAGCATCTATAGTGTGCAAAGCACTAGGCTGCCTCCAAGAAGTTTCAAACATACATCAGATCCAGGACCTCACTTCACAGAGCCTGAACTCTGGCAGGGGACATAAACATAAGGGTACACAGCAGGGCAAGGTGGGATGTACAGAAGCTCCCCCTCCAGATTTGGAACATTGTGCTTTTCCTGCAGGGAAGTGTCTTCTAAACCCTCCTCAGTAGCCAGACTCTCAGCTGAGAGATAAGTCTGGATTAGCAAGATTTGGGCATGGAGGATAGCTTTCTAACCTTGGTTTTTACTTCCCTCTTCTGCCCATCCTTCTTGTCCATACACCAGTATCCCTCTCCCCTGCCCTATGGCTGCACACACCACAGCCCATTCCTGACCAGCCATCTTCTCACCTGCAGATCATCGGGCAGGTATATGCAGATCCTGATTGCCTGCCCCGAACACTGGACTTTGGCCTCAACGTGAAGCTTTTCTGGGAGAAGTTTGTCCCCACAGACTGCCCCCCAGCCTTCTTCCCCCTGGCCGCCATCTGCTGCAAACTGGAGCCCGAGAGCAGGTTGGTATCCTACCCCCTTTCCCCAGTTCACATGGGTCTAGATGCTTGCACCAGCCTTCAGCCATCCCCAAGCCCTTCCTAGGCACAGCGGTGGCAAAAGCCTTGAGCTCAAGGATATCAACACTGATGCCACCCTAACAACTCTGATGTGCCTGGTGAGGTGGGGGGGCGACAAGGCACAGTCTTGAGTGACCTGGATATAACACAGACACAGCCATGAAAAGAAATTTTAACAAAAGAAAACTCATGCAAACCAATGCCATTCTAACAGAATAAGTGTCCTTCTCCTATCTATTCCAAACACATTTTTTATCATATAGCTATAATCTCAAGTAAAGAAAAAATTTTTAAGTTCGTTTATTTATTTTGAGAATGAGCGAAAGGGTGAATGGGGAAGGGGCAGAGAGAGAATCCCAAGTAGGCTCCACACTGCCAGCAAGGAGCCTGAGGTGGGACTCAAACTCACGAACAGTGAGATCATGATTTGAGCTGAAGTTAGATGCTTAACTGACTGAGCCACCCAGGCACCCCTCAAATAAAGAAAAGTTTTATATTTTGCCCTGCATTTTCCTTGTTACTACCCAGTCTTCCTATTTATCATTTTTTGTTGACTATGTGAAATTCAATTAAGATATAGTCTGAACATATTATAATATACATAATATAGATATTCAGGTTTTTCCAGTTTCTTCTTACAATAGGTATTACTACAGTGAACATCTATGTGCATTTAGCTAATTTTCTCCTTTAAAGAAATATTTTTAAAATGACCTTTACTTAGGTTATAGTTTCCATTATTGCCAAAGTTACCTTGGTCCTTTTCAAGTTTGTGCATTTAAAAACTAGAATCTGCTTTTTTCTGCTCTCAAAAGTACTGTTTCTTTAAAAAGCAAACAAACAAACAAATTCAAGCATTACTAAAATATATAGCATAGAAGTACACATTTTCTATTATCTGCTAACAAATGTGCCCCTGAGTGCTCCTCACTCTCCTGCTCCATTCCCTCAAGATAACCAGTTGGCATATAACCTTTATTTTAAAACGATTTCCAGGTGGCACCTGGGTAAGCGTCTGACTTCAGCTCAGGTCATGATCTCACAGTTTGTGAGTTTGAGCCCCACAGTTGGGCTCTGTGCTGACAGCTCGGAGCCTGGAGCCTGTTTCAGATTCAGTGTCTCCCTCTCTCTGCCCCGCCCCCTTCTCATGTTCTCTCTTTTTCAAAATAAATACATTCCAAAAAAATTTTTTTAATAAAAAATAAAATGGTTTCCAGAGGTCCAGTTTAGAGTTGGGATTTGCCGGTGGGAAGCTTTACATTTTGTTCTTTCATGGGCTAAAGGACTGCAGTCCTTCACTAACATCAGAGTAAGAGCATAAGGAGAAAACGTGGAGCTACACAGTATTTGTTTGCTAATATCCTTTCCTAGTCATTCTAAATGTCTGTGTTTAATTCACTCAAAAAATATTGACTGAGTGCCAGCCATGTGCTAGACACTGTTTTGAGCACTGGAGTGAGCAAAGCAAAGGTGCCTGCCCTCCTAGAACTCACATTCTAACGAGATGATAAACAGTAGATAGAATAAACTTTATTCTACAAAAGAAAGTGACAATGGTATGGGAAAAAGAGCAGAGCTGAGGAAAGAGGATGTGTAGGGTGCAATTTGTAATTTAAAAAATTTTTTAATGTTTATTTTAGAGACACAGACAGTGTGAGTGGGGGAGGAGCAGAGAGAGCAGGAGACAATCCAAAGCAAGCTCCAGGCTCTGAGCTGACAGCACAGAGCCCAATGTGGGACTGGAACCCACAAACCATGAGATCATGACCTGAGTTGAAGTCAGATGCTAAACTAACTGAGCCACCCAGGCGTCTGCAAGTTGTAATTTTAAGTACGGTGATGAGAGTGAGTGGGCCCTACTGAGAAGGTGACAAGACAGTAAACAAAAACATGGAGGAAGTGGAGTAAGCCTGAGCTGTCTTAGGGTTCCAGGCCAGCTAAACTGTTTCTGCAGTACTGGGAGCCTGGTGTTTGTTTTCCCCTTGGGAAGAGCTGCTGAATCTGTGAAATGTCCTTTCCTGAGCAGATCCATTGATGTGGAGACAGCCTAAGGACTGGAAAGAATCTTTTAAAAGGCATTTAAAATGATTGCATTTTCTCCGAGACATGAGAGGAGCCTTTTTTCTCCTGGACTTTCTTTTTTTAAGCTACCCCCCTTGAGCAAGGCCAGCCTTCTCACAGAGCTCTCCCTTCATCACAGCAACCCTACACAATAGCAGTAACATTATATCATCCCCATTTCCTGCAGAGGCACAGGGTTAAGGGGCTTGCCCAAGGTCACACAACTAGGATGTGGTTGAGCTACAAGGCCTGGGTGCCTTTCACACCACCCCGTGGCCCTGCCTGTGTCTCACTTGCCTCCAACTCACCCCTTTTCTTTCTAGACCGGCATTCTCAAAACTGGAGGACTCATTTGAGGCTCTCTCCCTGTATCTGGGGGAGCTGGGCATCCCGCTGCCTGCAGAGCTGGAAGAGCTGGACCACACTGTGAGCATGCAGTACGGCCTGACTCGGGACTCACCTCCCTAGCCTTGGCCCAGCCCCCTGCAGGGGGGCATTCTGCAGCCACCATTGCCCCCTCTGCACCCCATCTCTGCTCTGGGCAGGGCCGTCCGGGCTTCCTATGGATTGGCAGCTTATTCAGAAGCAGAACAAGCCATCCCTACTACCTCCCCAGGAGGCCAGCGGGTGCAGCACCAGGGAAACACATCACAGGTTTGGGGGCCTGGTTACTGTCTGTAAATCCAACACTCGCCTGAAAGCTGTGAAGAAAAAAAAAAAAAAAGCCTGGCCCATGGGCTGGGGGAATCTGTTACTCATGACCACTTGGGAGCTCCTGGCAGTGCAATTCTGGGAGGCTGTTGCTTACACTAATCATTGTGACCTGGACCTGCTGGGCAGGATTCCAGGGTGAACCTGCCTGTGGGTTCTGAAGTCTCTGGTCCCGCTTGGGTACAGGAGGACATCAAGGGGGGCTGTGAACAGGAGAGAGACTGGTGGCCAGGTGACTATCCAAGGATGTGAAATGACAGTGGTGCTACCCCACCTTCCACCCCATGCCCCGCCCTCCTATGGGGCAAGGATTGAGGGAGTAGGTTTTGAAGAGTTCTTAGTTTGTGGGGGAACTGGCCAGGAGTCAGGGGGAAGGTTAGTTTCTGCTCATCTCCCAGGCCTAGGAGCCACATCAGTGTGAGGGGAGGGCTTCCACCTCATGTTTTCAAACTATTGCTCTCGCTGAGAGCTCCTGGGCCTTTCTGACTACAACAAGCACTCACCCACAAGTGCAGGAAGAGGCTAGGAGCTGGAAAGGTGCCCTGTTTTCTAGAAAGCCCGTATCTGGGCTGCTGTCATTCATAGACTGGTGGTCACCTCAATCAGAAGCCCAAGACATTTATCTTAGTGTTAGATTGGTTCTGGAGGATTGTGTGGCTTGTCACAGGCCCAGTAAATGAACCAGGGGAGTGGGAATCTCAGCAGTCTCTTGGTCTTATCCTTGTGGCAACCACTGCTCATCCTTTACTATCCCTGGTCCAGGCAGCAACATGGGCAGGAAGAGGTGGTGGCAGAGCTCCAGAGCTGGGGTGCTGGGGGAAACCACTCCCTGAGCTGGCCTTTCTGGCTTCTACCTCCCTTGTTGGTCAGCTCAGCTCACTAGCTCCTAGCTGCTGCTTCCTGACACAGCTAATGGGTGCTGAAAAGCCCCAGAGGCACCCTCTACCTTGGGTCTCAGAGCTCCAGGGACTCTTCAACACAAATAGATTTGCCTCCTTTTACGCATCTGTGAGCTTGCACCATATTTAACAAATTGGGAATGGGTTTGGGATATTACTGCAATGTGTGGTGGTCGTGTTGGGGAGTGGGGGTGGGGGGAGGGGGAGGAGTGATCCAGGAGAGTGGTTGATGTTAATACTATTTTATTGCTATATCTGTTGGGTGATATGTGAAAATACCATACATAGACCTGATAAATTGTGGGATTAGATGTCATCTTGACAGAATTTACCTGCTTATGTGTGGAGTGTGCAAGCTTGCTGTAGGGTTGACCCCTGGCTCCAAGCAGCCCTAAGTCAGCATTTTGTGGCTGGCTGTGCCTCAGCTGTCCCCAGCAAGCATGGGAGTGGTGGGCCCATGGTGGGCCGTTGAACAGACCAAATAAATTAAGCAGTTAACATAACTGATGATACTGAGAGTGAGAAAGTGACTTGGGGCCCCTGGCTCAGCAGGAGGAGGGTTCATGTGGAGGGTCTGCTGGCCACTTTCAGGCCCTACCCTCTGACTCCCCACAGCAGAGAGTTCTCACACACACACCCAACTCTAATCCCTTATATAGATGCTAACCTGCTCCAAAGAACATGCACATCCCACCCAAGGCAACCCAGTCCTTTGAGCAGGTCTGACTCTGACCTTCCAGCCAAGTACTTCCCTTGGGGCCATATACTTCCACCTTCTGATGCATGTATACTCCTGTAAGCCTGGATATCCTCCCCACAGGTTTGGGTGCCACCTTCATAAAGGGAAGAAATGAATTCAAGTTACCTCCACACCTTGAGTTTCCCTACAAATGCTTGAGAGAAGACCTGTTTCTTCTTGCCTCTGCACATGGGAGATGTGAAGCTTTGGGCCTAGTGGGATACCAGGCTTAGTATAAATCCACACACCTTTAAGTTCAACTTAAGGACAGACTCTGGTTCCTGGCAAAACTGATAGTCTAGGGTGCCCCTTGTTTGTAGAACTAGAGAGCAATGACTAGGCATGGACAGAGATCACCCTGAGTATTCCTAGAGGCAGAGAAACCTGTTGCTGAAATATCGTGCTGAAAGTCCTGTTGGTAGTTTCTTATGGAGCCCTAGGAGTTCCCCTCCACTTCCCTCACCCCATCCTACCCCCTCACCATCCCCAGGAGCCTTCCTCTGCTTCCAGCATCCCAAGAACCCATCCCCTTTAGCACATCCATCCTTCCCTTTTGCTGCTGCAGCACCACCAACCACACCTGTCTCCAGCCCCTGCCAATGGCTATCTAGATATTCATTTTAACTACCTCTACCTTGGGAAGAATGGTGAGGAGGAGATGGTTTGTAGTGACCAAACCGCCTGTGGAGAAGCCAGCATACCCATCTTTCCTGCAGCTGAACAACTCCTGGTGATGACAGTACAGAGGCAACAGTTATACACTGCTCACTTGCCATCTCCCAGTCACAGGGCCCGGGCTAGTGAGGGAAAGCCAGAGCTTGCCACACAGGTATGGATAAGGTAACCAAAAACTTGGCAATACACAGTTTTTTGTTTTTTTAATTTATACAAGTCAAATGCAGAGCAATTTCCTGCACTTTATACGCAGGTATCAGAATGAGGTATATAAAACATGTACACAGAGAAATGCTTTTATAGAAAAGTAGAAACCAGTAATGTACTGTTCTTTTCAGGATCACTAACACCAAGGGACCCATGAGCCTAGGCCTCCTCAGCAAACCACTCCCAAGAATAGTCTGCTGAAGAGAATAGGCCCCACTAAGCCCCTTTCCACATGGGGTAGTGGAAGGAAGCTCTGGGTAGGGAGCACTGCTAAGGCCTCCAAGTGTGATATTAGGGCTTGGAGGCCCTGCTGAGCCATTGGCTCAGTGAAGCACAGTGCTGTGGAGAAATGTTACTTTCCTCTCAGCCATGCCTATGCTCTATGACCTTGGGCATCACTTTCCTCCTCTGGGCCCCTGTGTCCAAAAGGCTTGAGGAACCCTAAGGTCCCTTCCAATGGTTCTGATTGTTTTACAAGTTAGGCGTTCTGAGCCTAGCCCTATCACCCCCATAGGAATGCATTGGCCTGGGGCCCCAGAGCCACCTGCAGACTCAAGCTACTGCAGGTGCAAGCCCTGAAGCACTTTATTACCTTGCCTCTGAGCTTAGTTTCTGAGTTAACCTCTCAGAAGCAGCTCACAAGACCCCACAGTGTAATTCCCATAGGTTAGTTGGCTGATGTCATTACCCCTGCAAAATGAAAAGAGGTCATTGTCCACCCTGGACAGACTGTCTAGGGTTCCCCAGGTCCCCCTCGAGTCCTGTGGCATAAGGCAGCCATGGATCCTTCTCTACCCTCTTCCCAAGTGGAATGTTCAGTGCGATTCTTCCCTTCCTTTCCTTTCGAAACAGAAAGAGTTCCTGGGCCCAGGGCTGGCCCACGGTTATCAAGGCACATCACTACTAGCAAGCTGGAGCACCCCCAGGAGCCCTCAGCTTAGATCCCTTTCTCAAACCATAGTTTTGACTTTTGTACAAATTCATTTCTAGTTCTCAAAGTCAGTAGGGAGTTCCATCCCAACTATTTTAAAAACTGTTTTTGAAATACTACCTCCTGACCTGTCTATCCTGAACTATGGATAACAGTATGCGCCACTCAAGCCCATGGAGAAAAAACAGAACGGCAGAGACTGAGGCCACCTTAGATAATAAAGCACATAGGAGCCTGGGGGAGCTCTTTGCTTGTCTCTGGTTCAGTTCCAGGGCACAAGCAATGTTTGGAAGCCCTTGTCAGCAGCATTGCTGTGGGGGCTGCCACTGTCTCCACCCACAGGCAAAACCCTGCTCTAAGGGATGGAGGAGGAGCATTGGTAGGACCCTACCCAGCCTTGCTCTCAGCACACCACCTGCTTCTGTTTTAGAATTTAAAAAAAAAAAAGTCTAGGGAGGGTTTTAACCACAACAAAAAGTGTAGATCCTCCCAGCTGAAGGAGGGTAGAATGTTCTGCACCAGTGTCTGCATGGGCTCCTGCCCATTGTTGGTGGCTCAGGCCCCAGGAGTGCCCGCCTGGCCCATGAGGGGGGCACTGCCCTCCTGAAGGTCTACTGGAGTCTGGTTGGTGTGGACCACAATAGTCTTCTCATCCACGATCTCACAGGTAGGATTGGTGAAGGCAGACAAGGGCAGGGTGATTCGCTGCATCTCCCTCTCACACACTCGTTGGTCATGCTGCTCTTTCAGGTCCTTCCCCCTGGCAGGAAAAGAGGAAAGCATTGAGGCTTTGCCTCCTGAATGGCTTTGCTCATTAAATAGCATTGCTGCACCCAGGCAGGGACTGGGGCTAATCATGGTCACAGCAATTCAATAGCTGATAATACAAGATTTCCATTCTGCCAGACTTCCTTGACACGAAGTTCCTATGCCTCAGGTCTACTACCTCATCTGTAAAATGGGTGTGTAGCAGCCTGAATCTCGCACAGCTGCAGACAGCCTCAATGAAGATGGTGTATAGGAAAGAGACTCTTTAGATATGATTTTGTTCTTTAAGCATAGGGCTCCAAGAGACCCAGAGAACCATCTCAGTCCTAACCCATAAAGTGCAGAAAACTGACCTGTTCTGAGATAGCTGTCTTATCCTAAAGTCCTGGAGGGTGTGAGCCCTGGGAAATAAGGACTGTCCCTAGCCCATGCAGAGGGCAAGAGGGACTGAGGGCTATTCAGGTCAATGGGAAACCGTGAACAATGACCATCAGATCCCTTTATGTTTACACATTGAATTCTCATGGTACTTAATCACTCAATCAGGCCGTGGTGTTGCCCCATTTTACTCAAATGGAGTGCTCACTCCATGCTAAGGACTTTGTGTACATGATCTCACTTCATCCTTGGCTAAACCTGAAGAATTAGGTCTGACCATTCATTTTACAGATGAGGAAATAGCCCAGAGAAGTGAAGGAATTCTCCAATAACATAGTGGGCTCAAACCCAAGTCTGCTGGACTCCCAACTAATACTCAGAGAAGTTCTCAACTGATCAAAGTCACCCCTAAGAAACAGTGGCACAGGAATGCAAACCCAGTCTTCTGGCTGCACACATATGGCCCTCCCACTGGCCTGGACTACCCCTGCTGCAGGCTAAAGGGTTTGGTGTATGCCTAACACACTGCATACCACAACCAGCACCCAGGACCCAGATCAGCATACTTGGAAGCCACAACTAGAAACATGGGCTTAACTGTCAAGGGAAATCTTTCTGGAAGGAGCCCACCCCAAAGAGGCCTTGAAACAGACAGCTGATGAATGACTCAGTGAAACAAAAGAGGCCTACTTCAGACCTCAGGGAGATAGCTGAGATCAGATGGATTACATATCCATCATGATATACGGTGCAATGATAAGTTTCCAGAGATAGGAGAACAATATTGAGAAAACAGCAGGGCCTGGAGGGGCCTGAGGCTGCACAGGTACCTCAGAACTGTCTTTAAATCAACCAGTTTTCTTGTATTCTAGTACCAGCTCAGCCTTGGCTGTGTGACACCTGGCAAAACACTTATTTTCACTGAGCCTTGGTCTCATCTATGAAAAGGGGACAATATCTGCCTCAAAATAACAGTGAACATGAATGTATTTTGAAAACTGGAACTGCTGTAAAACTCATAGAGGAGTTTATTATGATTTGCCCTGAATATGACTTGATTCACCAGGCAATGTTATCTTAATATGGTTTTCTAAGGAAACTCCTACTGACCAGCCAAGGCAACTGTTTATGTGACAACTCCCCCCCCCTTAATTTTATCATTTTTAAAACAAGGAGTTGGACTGGATAACCTCCAGGGCCCCTGACATTCTAGACAATCCCTTATATGAGATGTGTTCTGACTCCCTATTTCTCATCGTAAGGTCACAGAAGGCAAATTTGTGAGCTCATCTCCCTGAGTCACCCTAGGTGACTTAAGTTTTCTGCATGGGCAAGCCTGAATGCTTGCCCCATCCTCATCATTTGCCTCCGTACTGGACATCACCAACTCCTGCAGCAGAATAACCCCCAGAGCACTACAAAGAAGAAATGGAGGTACATGGGAAGACAGTTGCCTGGACCAAGTGCATCCCCACTCGGCCTAAGATTCACTTTTGCCCTTGGGCACTGCTCATCATTTACAGCTGCCATCACAGAAGGAAACACTTTCCTCCATGATAAAACAAAAGGCCAGATTCTTTTAAGGGTGTCTATGTAGGTCTGGGTTTAACTTTATTAAGGGAATCCCCAAGCCAGCAGAAGGCCAAAAAGCGATTAACAAAAGAGGTAGAGTACGCAAGTCTCCTTTGCCAGGGCCTGAATTTCAAAATCTAAAGGGGTGAAGGAAGAGGGAAAATGAGAACTCACATCCTGAGTACCTACTAAGGCGCCAGGAAATGACCTCTCCATTATCCAGGATGAGAAGAGCTAC